ATGTCAGCACAGCACTACACAGTCCAGCACAGCACAGTCCAGCCCAGCACAGCACAGGTCAGAACAGCACAGCCCAGCACAGCACAGGTCAGAAGAGCACAGCCCAGCACAAGTCAGCACAGCCTAGCCCAGCACAGGACAGGACAGCATAGGATAGCACAACACAGTCCAGCACAGCACAGGTCATCACAGCCCAGCACAGGATAGCCCAGTCCAGCACAGTACAGCACAGCACAGCTCATGACAGGACAGCACAGCACAGGACAGGACAGGACAGCACAGCACAGCACAGGACAGGACAGCACAGCCTAACACCGGTCAGCACAGGTCAGCACAGCACAGGACAGCACAGCCCAGCACACGTCAGCACAGCACAGCCCAGCACAGGACAGCACAGCCCAGCACAGCACAGGTCAGCACAGCACAGCACAGCCTAACACGGGTCAGCACAGCACAGGTCAGCACAGCACAGCACAGGTCAGCACAGCACAGGTCAGCACAGCACAGCCTAACACGGGTCAGCACAGGTCAGCACAGCACAGCACAGGTCAGCAGAGCACAGGTCAGCACAGCCCAGCACAGGTCAGGTCAGCACAGCACAGGTCAGCACAGCACAGGTCAGCACAGCACAGGTCAGCACAGCACAGGTCAGCACAGCACAGGTCAGCACAGCACAGCACAGGTCAGCAGAGCACAGGTCAGCACAGCCCAGCACAGGTCAGGTCAGCACAGCTCAGCACAAGTCAGGTCAGCACAGGTCAGGTCAGCACAGCACAGGTCAGCACAGCCCAGCACAGGTCAGGTCAGCACAGCACAGGTCAGCACAGCACAGGTCAGCACAGCACAGGTCAGCACAGCACAGGTCAGCACAGCACAGGTCAGCACAGCACAGGTCAGCACAGCACAGGTCAGCACAGCACAGGTCAGCACAGCACAGGTCAGCACAGCACAGCCTAACACCGGTCAGCACAGCCCAGAACAGGTCAGCACAGCACGGTCAGCATAGCACAGGTCAGCACAGGTCAGTACAGGTCAGCACAGCACGGGTCAGCACAGCACAGGTCAGCACAGCCCAGCACATGTCAGCACAGCACAGGTCAGCACAGCACAGCACATGTCAGCACAGCACAGCCCAGCACAGCACGGGTCAGCACAGCACAGGTCAGCACAGCCCAGCACAGCACGGGTCAGCACAGCCCAGCACAGCACGGGTCAGCACAGCCCAGCACAGGTCAGCACAACACAGCACAGGTCAGCACAGCACAGCACAGGTCAGCACAGCACAGGTCAGCACAGCCCAGCACAGGACAGCACAGCCCAGCACAGGACAGCACAGGACAGCACAGCCCAGCACAGGACAGCACAGCCCAGCACAGGTCAGCACAGCCCAGCACAGCACAGGTCAGCACAGCCCAGCAAATGTCAGCACAGCACAGGTCAGCACAGATCAGCACAGCCCAGCACAGGTCAGCACAGCCCGACACAGCACAGGTCAGCACAGCCCAGCACAGCACAGGTCAGCACAGCCCAGCACAGCACAGGTCAGCACAGGTCAGCACAGCCCAACACAGCACAGCCCAGCACCAGTCAGCACAGCCCAGCACAGCCCAATACAGGTCAGCATACCCCAGCACAGCCCAATACAGGTCAGCCCAGCACAAGTCAGCACAGCCCAACACAGGTCAGCATAGCACAGTCCAACACATGTCAGCACAGCACTACACAGTCCAGCACAGCACAGTCCAGCCCAGCACAGCACAGGTCAGAACAGCACAGCCCAGCACAGCACAGGTCAGAAGAGCACAGCCCAGCACAAGTCAGCACAGCCTAGCCCAGCACAGGACAGGACAGCATAGGATAGCACAACACAGTCCAGCACAGCACAGGTCATCACAGCCCAGCACAGGATAGCCCAGTCCAGCACAGGACAGCACAGCACAGGACAGGACAGGACAGGACAGCACAGGACAGCACAACACAGGACAGCACAGGACAGGACAGCACAGAAGCAACAACAACAACAAGATTGCATTTATAGAGCGCCTTTCACGTCAGGAGGACAGGAAGGGGAGGTTGGAGATGGGCCGGTAGCTTGATAGCTGCGACGCACCAAGGGAGGGTTTTTTCAGTGTGGGAGTTTTTAGGGGAATGGGAACAGAGCCAGAGGAGAGGGACAGGTTGACAATGTCTGTGATATGTGGGGCAGGAGGTGGAGCTGGGAGATAAGGAGTGGAGTGGGGATGGGGTCAAGGGAGCAGGTGGTGGGTTTCAGGGATAGGATGAGTTTGGTGACAGAGGGTGGGGAAATGGGTACGAAGGTGTGTAGGGGACGATGGGTAGGAGTCGGAGTGTGGGAGGGAGGGGGTGGGTGGATGTTGAAGGGGCAGTGACCGCGGAGCGGATTCCCTTGATCTTGGATTCAAGGAAACCCAGCATCTCCTCGCAGTGAAGGTTGGAGGAGATGACCTGCGCGGGGTGGCGGGGGGGACGGAGGAGTCGGGATGTAGCCTGGGGTTGTTCTTCGCCTCCAGGATTATCCTGGAGTAGAAGGATGACTTGGCCGAGGCTAGAGTGGAGCGGTAGATTTTGAGGAGGTCCAGACAGATTTGCCGGTGGACCGTTAGGCCAGATTTGACACAGGTGTGTTCAGCGGCCAACAACTGGCTCTTTAGTGAGCGGAGGTGGGTGGTGAACCAGGGGGAGGAGCGGGAGTAGGAGACAGTATGGGAGGACAGGGAAGGACAGCACAGAACAGCAAGGATAGCACAGAACAGGAAGGACAGCACAGGACGGCACAGGACAGGACGGCACAGGACAGCACAGCACAGGACGGCACAGCACAGGACAGCACAGGACGGTACAGGACAGGACGGCACAGCACAGGACGCACAGCACAGGACAGGACGGCACAGCACAGCACAGCACAGGACAGGACAGGAGAGGACAGGACAGCACAGGGTTAAGGTAACAATAGCTGTCTTTGGAATTATAACAATAGTAACTGTCAATTGTGATACCTTTTGCAGACAGAAGCCCTTTGCTGTCTTAGAGAGAGGGACATTCTCTGCAATTTATTAAAAAGTACTGTAGAGTAAACATTAACTTTTCACAAGTGCTGTGTATATGTGTGTATGTGTAAAGCTATATCAAAGGAAGGATTACTGTTGTTACTGTAGTTAAAAAAATAGTTTTTTAAAAAGTAACATTTTCAGCTTTGCTCATCAGATGTCCCACATTCTAGGAGCTTGTTATCAAATTCACCAGCCTTGCCCGCTGTTTGAATGCCACGCAACACTTTGTACTTCCAATCGTAACCATCCTTGCATTTGATACAGTGACCACCACCTGGTCACGTCGTTGAGACATCTCAAAGCGGTTCACTGGACATACTGTAAAGTGGAGTGACTGTATTTTTTGGGCAAAACGCAGCAGCTAATTTGCGCACAGCAGTGTTCCAAAAGTAACCAGGGAGCAAGCAAGTATTTGGGGGATTCATAGGCCAGGACATTGTAAGAAATTTCCTTCTCTTTACTTTGAAGTGTGTTTCGATTATTAAACTGTGCCACCAAAGAGAATATTAATGTGTTACAAGCCCTTAAAATAGCAACACATTTGTGCATAATGCTTTAGCAACACTGTTTATTTAGGTCTGAGGTGATGTTATTTTTGAATTGTTGACCAACATATTGGATAGTGCACGAGATCTTTAACAGGCAGAGGAGACCTCAGTTTAATGTCTCTCATCCGAAGTACAGCACCTCTGGCCGCAGTGCTGGGTTTTGCTGCTCTGGAGTGACACATACTATGAGTTTCAAGTCCTAAAATGGGGTTTGAACAATCCTCTAATTCAGAGACTAGAGGGCTGCCAACTGAGCCAGGCTAACAAGAAAAATCCCATGCTCCATTTACTGGTATGGTTCTGCTTGTGAGTTAGGATGTCTGGTCTATCATCAACAGTTGTTGGAGCATTGCCTGATAACAAGTCCTTGATAAGGGAAGTGTTCTATTCCCCAACAAAAACAACCTTGATGTTGATTAGCTTGAAACCCGAGGTCGTTTGAATGATGGATGCTTGCTGTCTGCTTAGGTAAGGAGTGTTTGATAGTGTGACTTCTCAGTGTTAGATTAACTGGGACCTTGTGCTGACATCTCAGTAGTGTGTCCTTCAGATAAAGGCACGGTTTAGCTGGTGTTTACTTCAGTCTTCAGTCTTCGCCCACAAATATACAGTCAATTCACTTTATAGTGTGTTCTGTGAAGCGCTTTGGGACGTCCTCGCGACGTGAAAAGCGCTATATCAAATGCAAGGATTATTATTATTATTAAAGAGGTATTTATTCCTAGGGCAGCACCCAGCCAATCTGGGGAAGTTTTATCTTTGTCTTTACATGTTGTATTCAATAAATGCCAGGCACAACAGAAGGTTGGGTGAAGGTTAGATTAGTCGCTGGAATCAAGTTTTGGAGGATAGATACATAAAAGGTGATCAAATAGCAGTGAAATATGATGAATAACAGCTGCTTGGACCTTTGGAGGTGTCATGTTCAGGAAGGTAGCTGGTCGATAATCTGTGCAGGATATTTGGTCAGATATAGCCTCAAGATTTGCCTTTGGGAGAATCCTCTGTCTGTTGAGTAGTTTGGGTGGAGAATTAGAGAGGATTCTATGTGGTTTGTGGAAAGAGCTGAATGGGTTGAACCTTTCTTGTTCCAAACTTCTGCTGCTTCCTTTGCAAGTTTCCTTACTCCACAAGCCTATTTACTGCAGTAAGTAGGAACCTTTCTGGGGATAATAATCCCTCAAAAGAAATTGATCACTCACTTCATGGTTGATGGTGGGACATTGCTGTGCGTAATTGGCTGCTGCATTTTGCCCACAAAATAGACACTGTATAATATATTCTGTGAAGCGCTTTGAGATGCCTCAACAATGTGATACCAAATGCAAGGATTATTATTATTATTGTTCCATGACTTTGACCACTGTTCTTGTGGTTTCAGGGTGTGCACAGCACAGACATGAACCGTGGATCATCCCAGCATGACAAAGCACTGGATGTTATCGTCAATGCGCCCACAGAGGGTAAGCGAGGCCACTTGTTATTTGGCTTTCTTTTCCGTTACTCTGGACCACATACCCTTCCAAAACTGAGACCTGAAATCTCACCATTTGGCTATGTTCTCTTAAAATTTAAAGTTGTGAAAACTGTTCATTTGGAAGCCATTTTTAAAAAAATACTGTGAAGAAACACCACTGACAAGAGCAACTTGCGCTTCTCTAGAGCCTTTCACATGTATGTTTGAACATCTTCACTCAGATTGAGTGGGAGACTGAGCTGGGAGAGAGATTGGAGGTGGGAGATGGCTGAAGTTGCAGTAGAAGAGAGAGATTTTAGATGAAAGCAGAAAGAGGGCAAAATGGAAGGATTTGGGATAAGAGTTCCAGAGAGCGACGGCAAAGTGGCTGAAAGTTTGCCCAGTAATGGTGGGGCAGAGTAGGCAGGGGGACATGAAGCAGGCCAACTGTTGGAGTGAAGTGGGTAGTTGGTGGAGGACTGCAGGAGATGGTAGGGTGGGATAAGGTATCTGACGGTAAGAAAACGTGTGCTCTGAAGTTCTGGCTGAGCTTCCAAATTCAGACTGGATTTAAAAAATTTCCACAATTATGTGCAATCTTAAATTTTGAGGCAAAATGGTGCACAAGGTGGATTTGGGATTAATAGCTTCAAATTTAACACATTCCTGTCAGCAAAGTTCCTCGTAAAAGCACTGTAGGGTACCTGTCTCTCTCCCGAGTATCTACCTATCTACCTTGAAATTATTTTTCTTCGTGTCCTCAGGCTGAGCTTGTTAATATGTACCTGCTCTTTGTTTTGTCCTCAGTTCTGGATTCCCCAAAGGATCATCCCCAACCACAGCCAGGAATGGTCTGGAGAGTGACCGGGGGTCTGTACAACGTGACGAGGGGAGCCATTGGGGCCACGGTGGGAGGCGTGGTGTGGCTTGGTGGTAAAAGCCTGGAAATAACCAAGACAGCAGTGACCTCGGTGCCAGCCGTCGGTGTGGGACTGGTCAAAGGCGGTGTGTCAGCCTTGACAGGTGGTGTTTCCACAGTGGGGTCAACGGTGGCCAATAAAGTCCCTTTCACAGCAAAGAAGAAGGACAAGTCTGAGTAATCCATTGTTGTGGAAAGAACATGCGATGGACACTGCATTTAGTGCAGTGCTGGGGGATTGCTGCCTTGCTAGAGATGCCTTCCTTTGAATGAGACGTTAAACCCAAGTCCAGTTTGCCCGTTCAAGTGGACATGAAGCCTTGGTGCTATGTTGGGGGGCAAAAAAAGGGAGTTTCTATAGTAATGTGGTCAACCCTTTTCCTGTTTAATTGTTCATTCACTTCCTGGCTGTTTGTGAGACATTGCTGAGCACAAATTGGCTACCACAGTTCCTTTCAAATCCGCAGTCACCATGCTTAACACTATTTTCTGTGAAGCCATTGAGATATTTGATGTGATTTATTAATATTAAATGCAAGTAATGTTTGGTTTGTTTTGAATTAAGATACAGAAACCTAAATCTTTTAAAACGTCTGAGGTGCAGGTGCATTGCAGAGCAAAGCTGTCACACCAAAGGTTTCTTGCCATCAGCTAAATACCCCCTCATCTCCCATGTGACTCAGGGTCCCCAAAGTCTGATCACTATACTGGCCGACTGTTAACTAGTCTACAAAGACTAGGAATGTTCCGAATGCTCAACAGGGTATTGTATTCATGCCTCAGTAATTCCCTGTCCAAAGATTTTCGGTCCCCATGTTGTTCTTGAACTCCAGGCTTTGAGGATTTAATTTTAGTCCCAAATCAAATTGCTTTGTGTCTCCAGGCTCCTGGGCTTGTGATCCTACCCTTCACCTTTCATTGATTTGTCTTAAGTACAGGGATTCTTCTGTGTGGTCGATCATTGGGACTGAAATGGGATAGAGATGTGTACTCCAGTGTGAGCCATGCAGTGGGTAAACATGCCCACGGAATATCATTGAGCCACACAGAGACCCAACGTTCTGTCCAGTCTTATGGAAGTCTTACAGTCTTACCTCTGAGATCATTGAGTCCTGTAGCTCAGTGGTTAGAGCACTCACATTGCAAGTGAGAGACCTGAGTTCAATTCCAGGCAGAGGGAGAAACCTTGGGCAAGTTTCCTTACTCCACACAGAGCCTAATAATAATCCTCCAAAACCAAAAACAATAATAAATTGGTCATTTTCAATCCACGACTGTTTGTGGGACATTGCTGTGCGCAATTGGCTGCCGCGTTCGCCCACAAATATACAGTCAATTCACTTTACAGTGTGTTCTGTGAAGCGCTTTGGGACGACCTCCCGACGTGAGAAGCGCTATATCAAAGGCAAGGATTATTATTATTTGAACTATAATTTATAATGATGTGCAGCATTATATAAATACAGTGTGAATGTGGAAGCCAGCTCTATTTAAGAACTGTTGAAAATCAGCTTACAAATTATCACTGAATTTAAGAACTTGCCTCATTTCTGCACAATCTTAAATTTTAAGACAAAATGTTTTTACATTCCTAGAAATAGGCGAAAATTCTGGTCCTGAAGGTTGCGGGTTTGAATCCTGGTCTGTGCTGAGTTAGCTGATCTCACCCTGGGTTTGGGCTTTTAATTGCTTTCAGTGCAACTGGGCTGGAGGGAGAAAACTGACTCCTGCTTGTTATCCAGAGATCCTGGCTTGAAAGTGTGAAGACCCCGTGTCTTCAGGAGTTAAAAGAAAATTGCAAACTGCTGATCAAGGCTTGTTTTGCTGCAAGGTAGTGGTTAGAGCACACCCAGGGGTCCTGGGTTTGATTCCTGGGCGGAGCGAGACGTTGGGCAAGTTTCCTTACTCCACACGCCTCTGTTCACCGAGCAGTAAGTAGGAACCCAGGTTGTTAGTTGATTGGCGGATTGTTTTTCCAGGGGTAATAATTACAATTATTCCCCACGGCCCCCCCCTCCCACCGCCCCCACCGCCACGCCCCGGCAGAGCAACCACATAATCACTGGGTGAGCAATAACAAAGAAAAAAGACTGAAACTTTCCGGAACAAAATGGCAATTTATATTATATTATCCAAATCTCCCTGTCCAGTGCCTAGGGACGTCCTCCCTACGCTATACAAATGTAATTTTGTTGTTGAAGACCCACGTTTCCCTGGGACGTCCTCCTGACGTGAAAGGCGCTTTATAAATGGAATCTTGTTGTTGTTGTATCTTGTTGTTGAAACCAGACCAGTTTTGCCTCTGACAGAAATCCAGCTTCAACCTGTGTGTGTGTGTGGAGTGGGAGGAGCGTATTTTGGACTTTGTGTTATCAGGACTGCGGTGGTGCTGCAGGGCCGGAACCTGAATTGTTTCAGAATCCAATATGTGGGGCCAAACAATCAGCAGCAGGTGTCCCGATAAATTTATCTACTTTACTTGGCAGCAAAAGACTGATTTTACTTGATGGGGATAGTCTGAGTGTTTCCAATGAGTCCCGTTGGAGCTGTGTGATCGGTGCTCTGAGTATTATGATGATTATGGCTTACTTTTCAATGTCATGACAATCGGGTGGGTGCAGGTTTAATACGTACTCTGTTCATGCACGATTCTAACTGCGTTGAATGGGAATGTGCCAGTCTTCTTGAGGAAGAATTTGGAGTGGAGATGTGCATTTATGTCTGAGGGGTGTTGAAGGACAGACTAAAGCAATGCTGAAACCCAAATTATAAATTGTAAATGGGGCAAAACCGATTTTAACCTGGTCACCTATCCCAGATAGGGGTAATAATCCCTTCAAAAAAGAAACCTGCCGTGCACAATTGGCTGCCAATTCACTTTACAATATATTCTATGAAGCACTTTTGAGATGTCTTGAAGATGTGATAAGGCGCTGTATCAAATGCAAGGATTATTATATAAACAGTGCGACATTGTTTCCCACGTGTATATCTTAAGCTATGTGTGCTCCTCCACTGAATGTAATAGAAGCATACAAGCTTCTTTAGAGAAGACAGACTGACAACACCTTATTGGTGATGTGATTCTCAGTCGCAGAACGGGAATAAGTTTTGATAAGGGATGAGATTCAACCTCGAGCACCTTCATTGGAGAGTTCCCTCAGCAAAGACATGAGGAGAATTTCTTACTGTTTAACTGTGGCTGTGTTCTGAAATTCATGAAATCCAGGCAATTACAAAGGCCCTTGTACTAGTGTATCATTGCCTCCTTCATCCATTAGTAAATTAGTATGTAATGTAACAGAGTATAATTATCTTAAGTTAATATAATTAGATAATATTCCATTGCTGTGCAATATTTGAATGTAGAAAATTGGCTGGGCAATACACCAAACTCCTCTCTGCCAGTGACCGTTTGCTAAAGATGACTTTGGACAGGCTTTGGTTTGTACAGTGGATCTTGTACAGGTGCAATTTATTCCTAGTTGCGATGTGAACATGAACCATCAAGATGAAAATAAAGCCTACTGAGTTTTAACATGACATAACATGTAGGAGCAGGAGGAGGCCATTTGGCCCTTCGAGCCTCTGCCCCGCCATTCAATCATGGCTGATCTTCTAATCTAACTCCAGCTAATAACCTGACCCTGCCTTATCCCCATATCCCTTAATCGCTTTTGCAATAAGAAATCTATCTATCTCAGTCTTGAATATGTTCAAGGACTGAGCGTCAACAGCCCTTTGGGGCAGTGAGTTCCACACATTCACTGCCCTTTGAGTGAAGAAGTTCTTCCTCAACTCAGTGCGAAAGGGCTGTCCTCTGATTTTCAGGTTGTGACCCCTGGTTTTAGTTTCTCCAACCGGGGGAAACACTCTCCCACTATCTACTCTATCATTGCCCTTTGATGATCTTATAGGTTTCTATAAGATCCCCTCTAATTCTTCTATATTCTAGAGAATATAGGCCCAAATTGTTCAGCCTATCCTCGTAACTCATCCCCTTCATCCCTGGCACTAACCGAGTAAATCTACGCTGCACCCCCTCCAAGGCAAGTACATCCTTCCTTAAATGAGACCAAAACTGCACACAGTATTCCACGTGTGGTCTCACCAGGACCCTATACAGTTGCAGGAAGACTTCCCTACTCTTATACTCTAATCCTTTCATAATGAATGCTAACATACCGTTCGCCTTCCTAACTGCTGCTGCACCTGCACTAACTTTCTGTGATTGGTGTACAAGGACACCCAAGTCCCTCTGGACGCTAACACATTCCAATCTCTCCCACTCTCCTGTTTTTGCTCCCTTGGTGGATGACTTCGCACTTCCCTACATTATACTTCACCTGCCACCTACCTGCCCAATCACCTAACCTATCTATGTCTCACTGCACTTTTTTTAATGTCGTCCTCTGTGTTGACACTTCCTCCTAGTTTTGTGTCATCCGCGAATTTAGATATATTAGCTTCGATGTCCTCATCTACATCGTTGATGTAGATGGTAAATAGCTGAGGCCCAAGGACTGATCCTTGTGGCACTCCACTAGTCACATCCCGCCAATCTGAAAAGGACCCGTTTATCACTACTCTTTGTTTCCTACCCGTTAACCATTCCCCAATCCATGTTAATATGCTCCCCTCAATTCCATGGGCTGAACTGGAGATTACTGCCAAAGAAAAAGCCACGCAAATATTTAGGTTAGGTTTTAATTTAGAAAAGAGCATGGTAATACCCATTTTGTTTCCAATCTTTACTCAATAGTTTGAAAGTTTTGTTTACAAAAATAACATTTCAGTTTGTTCACAAAAATAAATCATCTGCACCACAAAGTTCAATATCTTGTGGGGGCTGTTTGCAGCTTTAGTTGCACAGCGGGACATTGTGGCAAATGGAACATAACTAATTACAGATGAAACAGACAGAACACCTTGCACCATGAATCCAAACACATGTTGGAACTTCACAATCAAAGCAGCATCAATCAGAGTGGGGGAAGGGTGGGGGTGGCACACACAGCAGCTTCCTTTGGCAAACACCATTTCTGTACCCATTTCCTTTAATTAATGTTTGTCTGGAAAGTTCCAGCACATGTACTAAATCGTCCTACATAGTACATTATGTTCAAGTTGTGTTGAATCGATTGATGGTACAAACTGTTCCTCTGTTCAGGTATGTCTGCACTCTCACTCAAAGTGTCCCTGAACCTTTAACTACATAATGGGAACAACAACAACAAAATTCCATTTATAGAGCGCCTTTCACGTCGGGAGAACGTCCCATTGAACCTATGTTTGAGCAAGAGCGCTGGTCTGAAACATGTAGATATTCTAAGATACTGGCATTTCTACGCCTAGGCCAGTAACTTTTTTTTACTTCTCAGATCTTTCCCCCCAAAACCTCATTTTTATTCTGGTTATTGCACCCCATCACCCCAAAATTGCTTCTCTTTTTAAACAAGGTGACATTTACATAACTTACATTGAAAATAAACATGACATTTTTGTAACAAAAACACAACAGGAAATTAAGCAAAGGATATCTGTTGGGACAAACTTGCCCTCATTTAAATCCTTCTAATACACTGACAACAAAAGTGAGGTCTACTTTGCTGAGCTGTTGGTCACTATGCATGACACTGTTATACTCATTGATAAGA